TGGAGACTGCATTGCTCTTTTGAGAAACAGTGAGACAGAAACATCTACTTTAAAGTGTGTTTCTACTACAGCTGTGTACACTCTGAGACCTTGTCAGAACATTTACAGAATATTTACTAAGCAACTATCCTATTTTTTTTAACTCTTTCTATGGCTCTCGATTGTTATGAAAATGGTGCTAAGTTTCTGGTCTTTTCATTTGGTTCTTTTTTTATGTATTTTATTTTTTGGTTTGGGTTTTTCAAGATTTCTCTGTGTAGCCCTGACTGTTCTGAAACTCACTCTGTAGACCAGGCTGGCCTCGAACTCAGAGATCATCCATCCTCTGCCTCCAGAGTGCTGGAATTAGAAGCCAGCACCACTCCTCAGCTTCATTTGGTTCTTAATTTCCCTCATAAAGATAAATAGAACTAATAATAAAAATCTTTCAACATTAGTAAAGTTTTACGTCTATTGTCACATTACTGAGCATGAAGGGGCATTTCCTCCTCTAGATTAATTTCCTTCTTGTAGTGATTAATATCCTATTTTCTTTCTGTTTTGTGTTTTTTGTTATGTTTGAAGTGAAGCATCTTAAAGCCTTGCACACAGTTTCTAAGGACCAGAAAGGCAGTAGAGGCATCTCAAAGTAGTCATAGCTGAGAGAGTTCCGTAAGCACCTACTCAAGAAATCAGTAGGCCCATCCTCATCAGAAAACTAGACCAGGGCCAGAGGATCTGTTTCAGTGTTCTTGGCAAGAGGCATCATTCAAGTCTTCAACGACATTTATCTGAACCAGTTACTGTTTGACCTCTCCTTAGGACTGCTACTAAGTTTTCTCAGTTTGCGCAAAACAAATAACCCAAGAAAGAAAACAAAATAGGTCACAGAGCATCTTATAACCCAATCTTGGAAGTCTTAGTTTCTGACATGACTATCCCAGTTATGCTCTGGGTGTTCACATCTGCGCACCGTGAGGAAATCAATGTTTGAGAATCCTCAGGGACAGGCTATATAATCATTGTGATAACATATGAGGTGGCTCAGTGGGCATAGCATTTGCCACACAAGCCTGGCAACTTGAGTTTGAACCCTGACACCTACCTACACAGTGGAAGCAAAGGACCAACTCCTGCAAAGATCCTCTGAGCTCCACACGTGTGCCAAGGTACATGGGAGCCCATATTCAGATGCACCCATGACACACAGAAAGTAGGATTGTTTTTGTAACTTTCCTAACAGTCGTGTTACCAGCACACCTGTGGACACATCTTACCTGTCAGGCTGGTATTGCAGCGTGCAAAGTCCAGCACTGTGTAAGACCACTGACAGCTTTTTGTGCTGCGCTGTGACCTCTTAGTACCTTCTGACACCGTAAATGCTAGCCAGTAGGGAGGACCTTTCCCAGTTAGTTCTAGATTGATTTCTTTACATTGTGCAACCAAAGCATGTAGTGTTTTCAACTAAGTCTGGAAAAGTTGTCCACTGACCTTTATATACATGTCATGGCACATGGACTGAGACTCTCTCTCAAAATAAAATAAAAGGAATTGTTTGTTTTAATATTATTATTACCATAGTAGTCATTCTCTTTATTTAACCTATCATCACCAGAGTTTTATAACCTTTTGATAATTAGCCCAGCATTTGTCAAAGTCCATTTAAACAATGACAAAATATCAATCATGTCATTGAGAGGCTGGAGAGATGGGTTAGTAGATAAAGTATAGCCAAACATGAGGACCCAAGTTCAGACAGATTCTCAGCACCCATGTAAAAATCCAAGCATGGCAGCACACATGGCAGCACAAAGGACGAATGGGCAGAGATGGGTGGATCTCAGGGGCTCTCTGGACATAGCCGAGGCCAAATAACAAGTTCCAGAGTCAGAGTAGGACCCTTTCTCAAGAAGAAAAAGAGGAAGAGGAAGGAGAAATGGCAAGGAAAACACCTATGTGACTATTTCTGGCTGCCATATACAGCTTTCATGCACACAGGGAACACCGTGCGTATAACACACGCACATGTGAAAGCATACACACATCTATAATCGGTGAACATAATGACTGACAACGTATTCCAGAGTATAATTCATTTTGGAAAAGTAAAACTGCTTTGTTTCCTTGTAACCCACCAAGTTTAACTTAAATGAGCAATTGATTCTTTTTAATCCAAAGTGTTTCTTAAATCTTCCTCATCCACCAGCATCTTAAGAGTTTGTTGATTCTTTGCTTATTTTAAAAGGCAAGTAGAAACTAGTAGATACAGAAGACAATACTTATGTATATAAATGATGAAGTAAAGTCAAAGGTTACTTGGGATCTGTATCTCTAACTCATGTTGCTACAAAACAGAATATCCCATTTCCTTATCAGTTACATCTATAAAACCATGTCTTGGCAATTTCTTTCATCATTGATATCGTATCATGCAGTCTATTTTAGTTTTATTTCTTATTCCCAATCCACACATGCTAGGACCATTTAAAAATGTGTTTTAGACCTAAGGGAATCTTAGAGGTTTCTTTTTGTTAAAAACAGTTCCCCTTTCTTGAAGGATTGGGACTTATTTCAGTCAATCATACTTCCTCTCTACATTCTTTATTCCCTCTTCAAAGACAAGATTAAATGCTAGGACCTCCCAATCCATGGAATGATCTTAAGTCACCACTAACTGCTCGCTCTGCATTATCTATGGTCTACAGAATCCGGTCGGTTTCCCTTTTCCCCAAAGAGAAACATGAAAAGCAAAGGTACAAGGGCAAGCTGGCCCTTCTGAGACTCCCACCAAACAAGCACTGTGCGCAGAGATCAGTTTAGCTGATGGTGCTTGAGACATTTAACTTTCTCCTTAAAATTAATACTCAGGCATTAAAAAAAGTGATCACGGTGCAGAAGAGGGGGCATGAGAAAGGCTGCGCATGTGCACACATAACTACAGGCACTCAGCCACCGAGCTCTTAAAAGAACTTACTTTGTCAAGATCCAAAGGCATGCTGCAAAGTTTAATTCTAGAACAAATAATCTTTTTTTCTTTTTCTTATTTGCCTTGTAGTATTGTAATTCATCATATGACACTAATCTGAGCCAAGGATTGCCACAAGCATTAACCTAATTCCTTTCCTTGACATTAGCCCCAGCTAATTCACACAGGTATCCTGGGACTTGACAGAGAACGGACCCCACTTCGGTGACTGAGCTAAATGTTATTTCCTAATCTTTATTTGCAAATATCGAAAACGTGTTTTCTGGGTCCAGAGACTAGAATATGTGTATTTGCAAAAGGGTAAATTCCTCACATAATCCGCTAGTGCTGTGATCTCTCGGTTTTAAGTTAATGCTCTGATTCCTATATGTGAACACTAAACTTTTTCACTAATTTTGATTCATGGATCATCCTTGATCTCAGTGGTACCGGTCACACTTAGCATGATCAAGGCTCAGGATTCCATTGTCGAGCCTGCCACACACTCAAAAAAGGACCAGCCTATGTCAATTTTTATCTCATTTTATTAATCTTAAAGAACAAGGGCACATGTCAGGGCACACAGGCCCAGAGGACAACCTTCAGGAGTTGGTTTTCTCCCTCCGCCCTGTGGCTCCCCGGAATTGAACCCAGGTCCTCAGGCTTGCCTGAGAGAGCCTTTGCCCAGTGAGACATCGGATTGGCACAGGTTCTCGTTTCAGAAAAATGCATCCTTCCTACTATTTTTGGTATCTTATCAATTCTTGATTATTTCTTTCAGAGGATTTCTATAATAGATCGTCCGAAACAGAGTTTCATTTAGAGAATGAGGATGTGAACATGTTAGTGTTTGAAGATAAACTCTTGGGGCTGGGGAGCCGGTTAAGGGCACCTGCTGCTCTTGCAGAGGAGCAGAGCTCTTCTCCCAAATGGTGGCTCACAGCTGCAGAGAGCTGCAGCTCCGGGCGATCCAGGGCCTTTTCTGGCCTCGTTGGTTCTGAGCACCTGTACGCATACCCATACAGATATCAAAAAAAGAAGAGGAGGAGGAAGAAAAAGAAGAAGAGCTTAACCTTGAACTAGCTGGTTTTCTGTCTGTAGCTTTATTGTACTTTAGTGAATCCAATCTAAGCTCCAACCTCCAAAACTCCAATGATATCTATCAGAAATTTTATTTCTCGTCTTAAGTATACTATGAATGTGTATTTGAAAATGATTCATGTTTGACTAAAACTTCAGCCGTACAACCAGAAAGGAAACTTTTCCAGGTTTCTCAATCAACTTTAAAATCTGTACAAGCAGGAGACTCACAAAATGTTAAGCGGTGCTTCTGTTCGGATCTAGCCTGTGCCCTGGGCAGGCAGGCAGCTGCCACCCCACTTCGGAGAAGAGAGGGCCAGCAGGTTAGCAGGGAAAGGCCAGACACTGCTTTCACACCCACCAGGCCTGCAGGGCACAGAGTGCATCTTGAGTCACGGTGGGGAGTGGGGAGTGGCTGGCTCTGTAGTAAGTACAACCCCCAGTGCAGACTCATGGCTTTCCTGTCTAACCAACAGCTCACCACCACCGCCACGTCCACCGCGGTATTACTTCTCACAGTTCTCGGGGTGGCCTGGGGCGCAGATGCATGGTTCAGCTGGTTTCATTTGAGCTGGTTTCATTTGAGCTTGTTTTTAGCCTCAGTCTGTGGCAGATGAAGCTTGAGTGTTCACAATTACTTCCTTTGGAAGCCTAGACTCAGCTGGGACCTTGGGACAACTGAGCCTCTCCAAATGACCTCTCAGGGCAGTTCCTTCAGGAGCCTGGGCTCTTGTTTTTCATGCCACTCGGGGGCTTAAAAGCAAGAAAATGAAAGCTTCAGAACCACCTTATGCCTTAATTCCAGAGTTGCATTTGCCACATGCTCTCGGATGAAACTGAGTCAGAGCATCCGCTCAGGTTCAGAATGCAGAGTCTGGGGCACTGGGCCATCCTTAACAGACCAGCCCACTTACTTTAAGGACTATGCTTTTCTTCCTCCCATTAAAACACCAAATCCTCTCCACTCCTTTTGTAGTGCCTTGTGTCTTTGGTGGTGTGCCTAAACCTACAAATATCGGCTTCTTATCCGTCAACATGAAGAACGTCCTGCATTGGAACCCACCAGAGGCTCTGCGTGGGTTCGAAGTCACGTACGCTGTGCAATATTTTATGTAAGTTGCTTCTTTTCCTGGCGGCAGCTTATAAACACCGACTCAGACTGTTGTGAACTGTACAAACGTAAACTTCCTAGGGCATTAAACAACCTTGGGGAAAAAAATATAGACATTTCCTGTTTCCTTGGTGTTACAGTAGATTATAAAGTGGTTATTTTGTGGCGCCGGAAGCACTGAACATTCAGGCAAGAACATTAGGGCCGAGTTACAGAGACTGAGAAAAGGGCACAGCAAGATTGTTTATTAGGTTGAGGTTTTTGTCACCAAGCCTGATGACACGAGTTCCTTTTGTGGGACACACATGTTGGAAGAATTGGCAAGTTGTATTCTTACATCCACACGTGCACTGTAGCATGTACACGGGTGCGCACACAAATCAGTAACAAGTGAAACGAATGCAGAAGAGAATTTGGTTAAAGAACTCTCTGGGTAAGCAATCGTGGCAATCCATCAAGTCTGAGAGCTCTAAGCTTGACTTTCAATATAGCTGAGGGTGACTTAGAACTCCTAATTCTTCTCTCTACTTCCCAAGAGCTAAGATTGCAGGCATGAACTGAAAACATGGTTGTATATAGAACTTTCCTAGACTGAATAGTGACAGCAAGTGTGACTGTAGAACTTTCTTGTTTTCTTCGCATCCATGAGGAGTTTGTTCTAGACCTTCTTGGGATACAGAAGACCTTCGCATTAGCTGACATGGCATTTGCCTGTAATCTGCATATGCCCTCTATTTTTTTTTTTTTGAGTAATCCCTGGGTTATTCTAACACATGATGCCAAAGTAAATACTATTGAAGTGCTGCCGTACCATAGATGTTCAGTAAAGATGCCATTCTTGCCCCAGTGGCTTTAATCCATAGTTGGTTGAATACACAGAGGCAGAATCCATGGATACAGAGGGTCGACTTGCCTCATCATTAATAATTAACTTCTCAGCAGTTTTCAAAACTATTTTCTTAACTTAATAGTTCATGAGGAACTAACATATTTCACAGTGAACACTTACACTTCATCAATTCATTTAATTTTACCTAGTCTGTTTTTATTAAGATTCAAACCAAGCAAAAATCTCTTTGTTAGAAGCACGTGCATCAGGTCTGACAGGATTTCTGTGTAACTGTCTAGTCATCCTTCTGTCCATAAGTAGGATAAAATGTATTGTTCATGCCAAATGTTTCTGGTTAAGAGTTGTAGGGTAATTTATTTTTCCCTTTGTTATATTTCCTGGTCATATTGTTTGATGGTTTGAGCTTTAAAAAGTTGTTCAACATTTGCAAAATAGAATGACCATTTTTGTCCTTAGAAAATGAATTCTGACCACTTAAGGCAAGCAAAAACTTCCAGAACATTCCTGGTACCCATTGTCTAGAACCCCATTCTCATTTCCAAGGATGGTCTCAGGAGCTGGTATTTTAGACTTCAGTTTTGCAGAGAAAAATAGACCAACCAGCATGTCCTCACTCCTCCTTCCTTTAGGTGGGGCAAAAAGAGCTTGCTCTGTTCCTTTGACTTCCCAGTGCTTCAGAAAGAACTGTAAGAAATAACCAGGATCGTCATTGCTGTATGAGAACAAATAAGTTATGTTGTGCAACTTTTTAAAATGAATACTTGCCCCATGGGAGTTCTGACATGCCTGGGTATGCACAAGGTTGACAGGAACAAAGGGCACAGCGCTGGAGTCAGGCCGTACTGGGTTTATGGCCAGGTTGTGACCCTATCTGGGTAGCCTGGAGCAGGTTACACTCTTTTTTTTAATTCTTTATTAATTACATTTTATTCACTTTGTATCTCCCCTGTGGTTCCCTGCCTCTTCCCATCCCAATCCCTCCCTTCCTCCACCCTCTGCATGCATGCCCCTCCCCAAGTCCACTGATAGGAGAGGTATTCTTTTCCTTCCTTCTGATCCTAGTCAATTAGGTCTCAACAGGAGTGGCTGCATTGTCTTCTTCTGTGGCCTGGTAATGCTGCTTCCCCCTCAGGGGGAGGTAATTAAAGAGCAGGCCTATCAGTTCATGTCAGAGACAGTCCCTGTTCCTATTACAATGGAACCCACTTGGATACTGAACTGCCATCGGCTACATCTTTGCAGGGTCTTAGGTTATCTCCATGCATAGTCCTTGGTTAGAGTATCAGTCTCAGGAAAGACCTCTCTGCTCAGATTTTTTGGTTCTGTTGCTCTCTACTTCTTTCATAAGAATCCCTGCAGTCTGCCCAAAGGTTGCCCATAAGTCTCAGCATCTGCATTGATAGTCTGCAGGGCAGAGCTTTTCAGAGGTTCTCTGTGTCAGGCTCCTGACTTGTTCCCTCTTTTCTCCTTCTTCTGATGTCCATCCTCTTTGCCTTTCTGGATAGGAATTGAGCATTTTAGCAAGAGTCCTCCCTCTTGATTAGTTTCTTTAGGTGTACAGATTTTAGTAGGTTTATCCTATATTATATGTCTATATGAGTGAGTATATACCGTGTGTATCTTTCTGCTTCTGGGATAGCTCACTCAGGATGATCTTTTCCAGATCCCACCATTTACCTGCAAATTTTATTATTTCCTTGTTTTTTATTGCTGAGTAATATTCCATTGTGTAGATATACCACAATTTGTGCATCCATTCCTCCACTGAGGGGCATCTGGGCTGTTTCCAGCTTCTGGCTATTAGAAACAACCCTATATCTGGCAGAGGACTAATGTCCAGTATATATAAAGAACTAAAGAAGAACTGAAGCACTGAACAGAAGCACTGAACATTGAGGCAAGAACATTAGGGCCGAGTTACAGAGACTGAGAAAAGGGCACAGCAAGATTGTTCATTAGGTTGAACAATCTAATTTGTTGAACAAAACAGCAAAAAATCGAGTAATCCAATTAAAAAATGGAGTACAGAGCTAAACAGAGAATTCTCAAAAGAGGAATATCGAATGGCAGAGAAACACTTAAAGAAATGTTCAACCTCATTAGCCATCAGGGAAATACAAATCAACCCTAAGATTTCACCTTACCCCCATCAGAATGGCCAAGATCAAAAACTCAAGGGACAACACATGCTGGAGAGGTTGTGGAGAAAGGGGAACCCTCCTCTACTGCTGGTAGGAATGTAAACTTGTACAACCACTCTGGAAATCAATCTGGCGCTTTCTCAGACAACTAGGAATAGTACTTCCTCAAGATCCAGCCATACCACTCCTAGGCATATACCTAAAAGAGGCTCAAGTACAAAATAAGGACATTTGCTCAACCATGTTTGTAGGTTACACTCTTTTATACTTTTTATTTGAGATTTGTTTCCAGAAAGAAATTTTTAAAGTTTCAGCTATACCCACAAAATGATTTAACATATAAAATGACATAGCATCTAAAACACTAGCTTTAGCACTGGGGAACGTGATTCTAGTTTCACATAAACCTTCTACTACTTCTGCAAACTTGACTGGACACTTAATCTTACTGAATTTCAATTTCGTGTTTCATAAAAAATGGGACAAAAACTGGTTGCTGTGCAGTTTAGTGAGGTGAAGAGTGTAAGCCTGGAGTTTCAGCCTCAGCTCATCACAGGTGCTCTTAGGCATTTGTCATACTTACTAGAAACAGGTAGAGACCATCAGCCCCAAGATTTGTCCCAAGGGAGATTAATGCTACTGGAATATGTGTCAATCTCCCATTCAGATATCACTGACACAACTTTTCTCTTTGGTCAGCATCTGCATGGTAAGAAGGTGCAGATGTGAGGCAGTTTTGGAAGGGAAAGAAAGACAAAGGAAGCAATGACAGTATTTTTCCAACACTAAGTCATGACCTGTTGACAGGTCAAGAATTCAACCATGAACCCAAAGCAGGAGGATCAGGAGTTCAAGGTCATTGCCAGCTACATAGTGAGTTCAAGGCTAGCATGCACCATATGAGTCCCCCATCTCAAAGGACCAAAAACAAAACAATAAAATAAAATTGAAAAGTAAATCAGTTTTGAGTATCAGATAGTATCTTTTATGGAAAGAAATGGAATGTTATGGACTGGTAAGTAACCAAATGCACGGCATGCAGAGAAGTTTGGGCATTATCTGGTAAAACCTGCTTTTTGAATGCTACATAGTATGGTTTTTGAAATGAACCAAAGTATAACTATCTATGTAAATACGGGTCGATTTTTCTTTTGATCATTGATCAAAAGTCCCCAGGCAGTGTTGATAACCTACATGGAGAGGTTGATTAAGATCAAACTATGTTTCTTGTGTATTTGGCAGATATAGCACTTAGCAAATGAAAGAGATTTGCTTCAGAACTCTGTTGACACATCTTTGACAACTTTGACAATATTCAATAATATTGCCACATCCCTCTTAGCAAGGCATGCTCTTCCCATTTTGTGATGAAAGTTTCTCCACTCCCCCTCTTTGGCGGTTATTCCAAAGTCCATTCTGTGCTCATTTTGATGCTCTTGAAGTTTTAATCCAGATATTGCTCTGGGTTTTCATGCCCAAGCCTTTTATTAGCAATTTGTATATTGACTCCAAATCTCTACCTCCCACTCCTCTCTTGAACCCTGGGCTCCTACATTTGGAAAACTCAAACTCACCCTGGCATTGCTGAACTTTTAGTTTTCCCTCTTCCTACTCTTCCCCTCCACAATTTCTCAAACCCATTCTTTTTCGTGGTCTTTATCTTGGTAAATATTATCATATTCCACACACTTGCCCTAAAGAGAAAGAGACCATTTCATAACCTTTACCTATGTGATCTCTTGCATGCACTAGTCACCTGGTCATGGCTACTAATAGTTCTTGTTTTTGTTGTGTCTCATTTATCCCACTACTATCATCATTGTCCGTACCATTCTTCCACCTGGACCACAGCAGTGTCATCTAAACTACTGTCTAGATTGCTAACACTAACACACTACATTCTCTGCAGACTACTGGTCAACCTTCTATGCCTTTCACCTTGTTTCCCCAACAGCCCTGATTTAATTTCTTCAGTAGCCTGCAGCACAGCCACGTCTCTCCCGCTGACTTACCATTTGACTAAATGTTGTATGCCACAGTCTCTCTTACCGGAGAAGTGCTGCAAATATTTCCTCTTCCACATTTTCTTTAAATGTTGTGTTTTAACAACAATAAAAGCATATATAAACAACATACTCAGTTCAGTAGCAATATGACTATGCTACACTCTCATACTCTGCTTCCTGGTAAATTTTCCCCTCAACTCTTAATACTTAGCAAAGTTTTAAATTTTATGAGAATGTCAAAGTAATTTTCTTCCAATAAAAAAGTGACTAACTTTCCTTTAATGCCTCCTGCAAACTAGCCTCGTGTGTGTTTGTACACATACATGACTAAAAACTTAATTGCTCACACGGTATGTAAACACTTTACTGTAGCTGAAGTATGGAACTGTAAGATGCTTTAAGAATGCACTCCCCACATTGTCATTCACATAAAAGCAAAGTGTTTATAGAAACACTTACGCTCCCGACAGCTAATGAAAATATCGCCGACAGCTAATGAAAATATCGCCAACAGCAAAAGTGGAGTCGATTAAATCAAATCACAGGCCTCTGTGTAATGCTGAAGAGTAAGTCTTTCATTCAATTTTATATAATGACTTTTTTAATTGTAAAGCATGTAAGGGGCCTTGCTAGTTCATAGTTTCTTTCTCAGCAGATATGGGCAGAAGAAATGGCTGAATGTCGCGGAGTGCAGAAACGTCAGCAGGACCTACTGTGATCTTTCTGCTGAGACCGCAGACTATGAGCACCAGTACTATGCCAAAGTGAAGGCCATTTGGGAAACCAAGTGTTCCGAATGGGCTGAAACTGGCCGGTTCTATCCTTTCTTAGAAAGTGAGTAATGCCATCGTCCACCAAGGACGTGCGAATCTGGGTTCCTGTGATGATACTCTGGCCTCACAGGCAGCTTTGCCCAGAGGAAAAGATCTACTTGACTCTGATCTGTATAGCAGGCTGAGTAACCAGCCCTAGTGATTCCTGGCTGAACCCTAGAATCAAATCTGTAGATGAATAGGTTTGGCCAAGGGGCCTTTAAGATCCCTCACAGATCCAGAAATACAAACAGGTGCCAATAATTTTGTTTTATCATGCAGTACAGATTGTGCATAAAAAAACATTGTAGGTTAGTGAATCATGTGAAGATTGTCCTGATTGCACAACTTAGTGTCTTTTTCATTCAACTTGGTATTGTGTTGATGTTTCTAGGTACAACTTGGTATTAAGACAAGAATCTTTCTGCCATTTGCATTTATATTTTCCTTCCCCTAATGTGTGACAGACCCATCTGTGAAGGATGCAGGCAAGGCCACCATAATGAAATATCCAGGGCTGCTGAGGTCCTAGGAGGTGGGGCCTTTTCCAGTGCTCTGCCAGGCCTATGCTCTCAAGACAGATGTAGCGCCGCTGTCTGTTTTTCTACAGGCCATGAGCTAAGGATGGTTTTTATATTTTATAATAGTTTTTTTTTATGAAAACAGTATTTTTGACATGTAAAAAGAATGTGAAATTTAAACTTCAATATCAGCGGCTAGAGCGATGGCTTAGCAGTTAAGAAAACATGTGGTTCTTGCAGAGAACTTAGGTTTGGTTTCCAGTACCCACAAGGTTCACACATCTAACTTGAGTCCCATGGGATCCAACACCCTCTTTGGGCTTCCACTGGTAATACATGCAATGTGATGTGCACAGATGTAGAAGCAGGCAAAGCACCCAGACACCTAAAATAAATTATAAATAAATTTTAGAGATAAATTGCTCTGTATATTATCCAGAAGACATGTGAAAATATACCATGTCCTGATCATACAACTAAGTCTCTTTTTCATTCAACTTGGCATTGTGTTGATGTTTCTAGGTATAACTAGGAATTAAGACAAGAATTTCCCTGCCATTTGCGTTTATATTTTCCTTCCCCTAATATGCAACAGACCCATCTGTGAAGGATGCAGGCAAGGCCACCTTGTCAATTTCAGTGTCTGTATATAAAGTTTTCCAGATCACCAACCCTGTTCCCTTACTCACACTGCTGCAGTGACTGTTTTTCCTACCACAGACTGAGTGGAGTCCTTGCAACAGAGATCCTGCTGCCTGAAAAGCCTCTGGGGTTTTATGGTGAAAGGGCTCCTCAGAAGAGGGTGGCTTTAGGTCTTTCATCCAAGTAGGATTATACTATAGCTTTATCTCGGGGGGGGGGGGGGGTTCACACCTGAAGATGCTTATAGCCTCTTCTCCTCTCAGCACAAGTCGGCCCTCCAAAGGTTGCCCTGACAACTGGTGAGAAGTCTATCTCTATTGTCCTGACCGCACCAGACAGGTGGAAAAGAAAGCCAAATGACGACACTGTTTCCATGCAACAGATATACCCCAGTCTGAAGTACTGTGTGTCTGTGTATGACGCTAAGTCAAGAAGAATGGTGAGCCTGGCTTGGGATGGGCTCTAGCCTCTGTGTTTCACTCTCAATGCTGCCGCTGTCACAGTCAGTCTCGGTGCTTTGGTTCTTTTTGTGAGAACGTGGCAGCCGATACTACTCAAAAGAGATGTCCCACAAGGTCAAAGGGAAGCTGGGGACATCAGGCTTTTCCCTGCAGAAGTGCTCTGTTGACAATGCATGATGACACTACTGGAATGTAGAGCAATCGGACATTTCATGGGGGGAAGTTTCATTACTTACATATCATCCATCTGTCACTTTCTGGGGATTATATATATATATATATATTTATATTTATATATATATATTTATATATATATGAGTAAGAACACAGGACAAAGTTAAGCACAAATTCTACCCTGGATTATTTAGAGGTGTTCCTAAAATTGGTCAATTCCTAACTGTGTTCTGCTCAGCTAAATGAAAACGGATTTTGAAACTATGCTAAAAAGAAAGAGAAAGGCTTAAAGTGACATGAAGGAGCCGGCAGGATCCTGGCCTTTCACGTTTTTCTAGAGCTGTCGAGCGGGCACCCTGGGCTCTCTGCTTATAACCTCTGTTTTCACTTCCCTGCCCCAGTGGTCACAGTGTCTCAGCGACAGCACGCTGGTGCTCCGCTGGCTGGAACCAAGCACTCTGTACTGCGTCCATGTGGAGTCCTTTGTCCCAGGGCCCCCTCGCCTCAGCCTGCCTTCTCAGAAGCAGTGCATCAGTACTTTGGAAGGTAAGCTGCAAGCAATTTCAGCTATTCTGAGGAAAGAAAGCTGATACACACACACACACACACACACACACACCAAACAAACAGCAGTTTAAAGTGTTAACAAATCCATGTTTATGAAAATTAGGTTGAAACACCAGTAAACACATTTAGTTCTCTAAATGCGTTTAGCTACCTGAGACTCTGCCTTTGAGCTTGGTCAGTGTTAAGACGGTGTGTCACACCATCTGGAAACTGTTAGCAAGACCCAGGAGTCCATTGGCAACAACCTCCCCAGTTAGCATAGCTTCTTACCTCAGGAAATACAACTAAGAACTTCCATACACATGATTTTTCTTCTTTCCAGCCACAGTCACTCTAAGCAACACCAACACCCAAGATCTACAGGGCAGGGAGTAAAGCATTGTCCTGGGAACACTCTCAAACACCACTGCTTAGGTACCGACTACAGGCCCCTCAAGTCGCTGTCAGACATCACTTGTAGCACAGGCAGGTCTGGGAACATCAGAGTCCCTCTCTCATTGTTGCCTTTCTTTGTCTCCTTGTGTTTTCTGAACAACCCTATGAGGGAACTGTAGTTTTGGATGCTTCTTTTAAGGGACCTGTGGTCATGCGCATCGTGCTTGTTTAATATGTCTGCCGTGCAGCAGAACTTCAACTAAAAACCCTGAAAATGAAAGCAAGCTAGACCCTCAAGTCCCCTCAAGTCCCCCTGCATTACTGAATGGTTTTCATCCAGTGCTGTTCTGATCCACCCTTCTAACAAATGCTCACAATCTTTTGCCTCAGCTACTCGTTGTTTTCCCATCCCCAGCTAAGCAGCCACAGCCACAGCCTCAACATCATCCCTGCCCCGCACTCCTTACCCGGCTGCTTTCCTCTTCTCTTTCCTAGGAAGAGGAGTGTTGGGAAAACATATGAACAGTAAAAGCCTTTACTTCTGAGTCTCACTTTCATGTCATATCTTTGAAAGGATTCTCTACCATAATACAAATAAAACTCAAATGCCAAGCAAGCAGGAAGGGACACAGGGCAGATGGGAGGAATCAGTTTTGTGTCTGGAATAAGTGCTGTGTTTCCTAACAGTTTGACCAGTGCCAAACGGTAAGAGTGAATTTCCAAGGAGCAAAGTTAAGTACAGATCACACCACCTTCTTTCTGGGAAGAAGACAGAGCGTAGTCCTTCCTCAGCAGTGCCGTAAGGGACAAAGGTTAAAGTTTTCTATAATACCTCAACCTAGTCACAAACCTACTAAGAACTACTTTCTTTTTTTAAAAAATTATCCATTTAGGGACTATGCCTTGAAAAAAATACCTCTTCTCCCTGCAATTTCTCAGTCCCCAAAATGAAAATGAAACCTGAGCTAAGCTGCCATCTAAAGCAGGACAGGTGCCTGACAATCACTGCATTTGCACCACAGCCTTGGCATAGTGCTGTGTAGGCAGACAAGCACTCTTTCCAGGGACTGTTGAGGGGCTAGAAGAGTCTTGAGGGGATGCCCACTGGATTTTCCCATGGGTGTGGCTGAATATTCCCATCATCATGATAATAACATATCTGTTTCCATCTACAGCTGGTTGTTAGTGGGAGAGACACCGCACTGTTTTCTCTGTCAGACAGCGAGAGACTCCAGCATCCACATGGATTAGATGCTCCTGTGGCACTCTAGCTGATTTATTGCTGTATTGGGAATGGTGTGGGAAAGGGCAGAGCTGGAGTTTGTGTTAAGTTTGCATGTTCTTTTTCTTTTTCTTTTCTTTTCTTTTTCTTCAGCCCTCAGAATTCTCCTGAAAAATAGAACCAACAGGCTAGAGATTAAAGAGAGAGTTTAAAGAGTCAGCTCTTGCTATTATGTAAACCAGAAGCAACAAAATCATTAGGGTAGACATCAGTCTGGTGACCCTAGGGATAACTGGCTTTGTGGTTCATCCCCAAAGGCAGCGTGGAAGCCTAACTCTCTCTTCATGGGTTCATCAGTCTCTTTTTCTTAAGAGCATCAGTTGAGTAGATGAAGCTCATCCACATTACAGAGAGCAATTTTCTTCACTCATAATCTACTCATTAAAATGTTAATCTCATCTAAAAACTATACATTTAAAGAAACATCTAGAATAGTGTTTAGCCAAATATCTATGTGTGGGCATCTTTTTTTATACTACTTTATTTCAGTTCTTATATCTCTGCCTCCCTTCTCCACCCCAATCCCAGGTTGGAGAGACAGAAGATTAGTGGAGAGAGCATTGAGATCTCTTTAGATGACTTCCTGCTGGTGGAGATGAGTTCCTTGGAGAAAGTCCAGTCTTTGTCTCATCGGGATACCTCCAACTCCTTCTTGTCTCTTTTCTCTCAGCCACTTGACAAACCAGCAGCACAGCAAGGAGCATTCTTCTTCTTCTTCTTCTTCTTCTTCTTCTTCTTCTTCTTCTTCTTCTTCTTCTTCTTCTTCTTCTTCTTCTTCTTCTTCTTCTCAGTCTTCTTCTTCATGCCCCCATCCCTCTGGGATCTGGCATTTATTACCCTCTCTAGAGTCCCCAGAATTAAACTATCTTCAGCTGGCAGAATCATGCCCCTGCCAGAGCACACAGGATGCAAATAGTCTGCTGCTATGAACAATCTGAAGCAGCCCCGTATCCCACACCAGGGTTTAAAACAAAAACATGTTTACATAATATAATTGGGTTTTTTGTTTATTATAATTTATTCACTTTGTAGCCCTGCTGAAGCCCCTCCTTCATCTCCTCCCACTCCCACCCACCCTCCCACTTCTCCCCCTATGCCCTTTCCCAAGTCCACTGATAAAGGAGGTCCTCCTCTCTTTCCATCTGATCCTAGCCTATCATGTCTCATCAAAGCTGGCTGCATTGTCATCCTCTGTGGCCTGGTAATGCTGCCCCACCTCAGGGGGGGGTGATCAAAGAGCCAGCCCCTGAGTTCATGTCAGAGACAGCCCCTGTTTCCCTTACTAGGGAATGCACTTAGAAACTGAGCAACCTATGGGCTTTCTTTGAACAAGGGGTCTAGGTCCTCTATATGTATGGTCTGGTCCTTGGTTGTAGTATCGGTCTCTGCACGCTTTTAAAGACACCAAAATTCTTACTACATCTATAGCCTACATAAGTTGACATATAAAATCAACTAGCCCAACTTACAAGTAGTTCCCACAAGCTTCCCAAGTATGTCAACCACAGCAGAGCCTGCACAGACGTTTTACTCTTCACAGGCCTACAGCACAGCAGAACCAAGAGGGAGTTAGAACCTTCCCACAATTGTTCCTAAGCTTTAGCCCTACCCAGAAGGACCGGCCCACCAGTACAAAAAGAACCTGTTAGCCACAACATGAAGATGCCACTTACTCATGTCATCTACTGAATATGTCAGAGAATACTGAGACACACCAGTGTCGTGGAAGAATGTAAGATGTATTTTTGGTATGAGATCTTTTGTTTTAACTTAAAACTTAAAATTTGTTAATCTTTTCCAGACTTCCATGTATATGAATATATGCACCTTATTTTCATAATTTTTCCTCTCCAACACTGAGTCCTACCCCACTCCTCAAATTCATGAAGATGAAGATCTTTTAAAATTAGTCTATCTCTCTGTCTCTGTCTCTGTCTCTCTCTCTCTCTGACACACACAAATACAACCTGTTGAAACAGTTTAGTGTTGTTTCTGTGGATATGTGCTGACCATTTGGGACTATATAAACTACCAGGGTCTTTATCTCTGGGGAAGACTGAATGTCCCTTTTTCTGCGGCTACTGATTGCCTATAACTCTTTATGGGTGGGGCCTTGTGACATTTCCTCATCCACATTGCCATGTCAACTGTTCTTATTTAGGTGACTGTATCTTTTGAGATTTCATGGGTGTGGCTTCCCTGTCATCCATAGAAGACACTACTTCACAGGAGATATCCTGGTCCTCTGGCTCTTACAATTATCTCACCCCACTTCCAAAATGTTCCCTGAGCCTCAGATATAATGATCAGTTAGGTATAGGGATCAGTTGGGTTTGGGCACTCCATAGTCAGTTGCTTTCTGCATTATGTCCAGTTGTGGGCTTCTGTAATTATCTTTGAAAAAAAAAAAAAAGCTTCTTTGATGATCGAGGAGTAAGAGCTACACTTACCTTTGGGTATAAGGATACAGGTACGTATTTGGAATGCAATTAGAAATTATATTGGTTTAGGAAGGTGGCATTAGTAGTTTCTCCTCTAAGGCTCATAACCTCACCAGCTACAGGTAAGCTGGCTAGGTTTAAATACCAGACATAATTTCTCCCTATTGAGCCAATGTTAGGTCCAGTTAGATGGTTGTTGGTTACCCCAGGATGGGAGTGTCCTTATTGCTCCCTTGAGTATATCTTGTCAAGTGCTGGTCATTGTTGTGGTTTGCAGGCTTTATAGTAGGGTAGGACGATTGAATGATTCTTGCTCTTGGCAGCTTGCATTGTACCTTTAGATACCAAGAACTGGTTCTCAGGAAAGAAGCTTCTAGGTCAACACCAGCTTGATTTCTCTAATTTCTAGGTTCAGAGTGTGGTATCTTCAGCAACTGGATCTTACCTTCAAGCTCTGAGAATCAACAAAGGGCATGGCAGTAGCCTATAATATTTAAGGAGTTTCTTGGACTACTCTGACGAATAACTCAAAAGGAGGTTTCCCATGCCTGGAACTAGTGATTTTGTTAAAAAGAATATTGCTGTTTGGTCTGAAAAGCTGTGAATTACTGAAGTGGCAGATACATTTGTTTTCACACACACGAGCCGGGATGCGGTTCAAAGCCTGGCATGAGTTTGGGGATAACCACTGGCTTATGTTAGTAATGTATCCTTACTGTAGAGATGGGGGTGAGTGTGGACAATGACTTAAGAACTTCCTTGTCAGAGAGAGATGACCGATTCTGGGACCTTACAACAGCAGCCTGTTTCTCTGTGTACAGCTGAGAAAACTGAGTCTCTGAATGCAGGTGACCTGCCCATACCTTCTTGACATTACCATGCTTCCTGCCATATTAAATGATAACTTTCCAATCCTGACCCATGGTTTTTCTTTAACAGCTCAAACATCATCACTGACAGTCAGAGTCATCTTCTGGTACATCCTGCCCACATCTCTTGCCGTGTTTCTTTTTTCTGTGATTGGCTACTCAGTTTACCGTTACATCTATGTTGGCAAAGAAAAACACCCATCCAATCTGGTGAGTGCTTGGCATGGTGGAAGACTATTCTGACAACAGGAAGACAGAAGAGAAGGGTAGAACAGATACAGTTTCATATAAGAGCAGAATGGCCTTAAGCTGTTGATGAATTCTAAAACATGCTCTGAGCTGAGTCGCTTAGTAGGAGAAAGCCTACATAGCATGTGTGCCATCTTAGGTGTAACCCCTGTACCCCCACAAAAAAAGCAGCTTCTGGGCTTAATTCACCCACAAGCATACCAACACTAAAAGTTGCCTAGGTTTGTAACAATTTTTATAACGGATAAGGTTGTGGGATAAACAGATAAAAGTCATGATCACTCTGTCTTTCTCAAAGGCCAAGCCTACTTAGACATAATATGTGAAGGCTAAAAATAAAAACAAGTATTGAGGACTCATGGGGTACGAGGACACCCCAAAACCTATTACGAGGGACTCGGTTTCCATGTTCAAGCGTGGGTATGAACGTAAGAGTTTGGACACTTGCTACAGCAGAAAAAGTAGCAGAGCAAGGGACGGCAGATGTAGTGGTGGAAAAACGCACACAGGGCCAGCCTATCATGTCCCCCATGATAGGGCTACACTGGAGAGCAGGCCCCAGGCTGCATACTGGGAGAATATGCTGCTGGTCTCAGAGCTTGGGCTTTCATTTGCAGAGAAATCTCAGCAAGGTTCTGAGTTGTGATGTCATAAAAGCCGCTATGATTTAGATCCAACTGGACACTCGTTCTAAAAAAAAAAAAAATATGAAGGTAGCTAAGAAGCCGTCTGGGGGGAGAAAAAAAAATGATAGTCCCAAAGAGGAGTGAGGGACATGGGCGGGCATAGGGGTGTGGAGCACAGAATCTACACAGAAGAGGCATGTGTTCAGTACTTGAGCATATATGACAAGAGGAAGTAAGTTGAAGGAACAAGTGAGATGTTACTGGACCATCTGCTGAAAGGACCCAGGGGGTTAAAAAGCATATGCTTAACATAAAAACTCTCTCCTTGGGAAATATCAAGAGATGCGTTCCCATGTAAATGCATGTAAGACATATGTCTGTTCCTGTTGGTCCTGTTCATTCAGTTCTCTGCTACCCTGCTCCATTTAAGTGCTGGATTTAGCCTCTTTGTAGCAAAGGGAGACAGGGGTGGGAGAAGGGGGGATTTACAGAGATTTGAAGCATGTGATTTTTAAAAACCTATAATTCTGTAAAACAATGGTGTGAAAGGTCCTGTTGCATAGTGTTAAATGAAATCGTGTCATTGGGTGACAGGAAGATTGTACCTTATCACTGTTGCTTCTGTCAATAACACACACCTTCCACATACTCCAAAGCAAGACAAAAATTATGTCTGTGGTACTCAGGATGGAGGATGGAGCCTTGCACATGCAAGCCTCTTTCCACTCCTTAGCTACAGCCACAATTTTTAATCGTCTCTTTTGAGACAAGGTCTGACCAAATTGCCTCATCTGGCCTCTCCTCTCTTAGTCCCCGGAGTAGCTGGGCCTATGTCGGTCTTACCAATTTTCTTCATTCTTGAGCATCCCTGAATGATTTAGACTTTTTTAAATCTACCATCAGCTAGCAGCTATATTGCCTTTTTTTTTTTTTTTTTTTTTTGTCTTTTTTGTGGTTTTGCCTTTTTTCTAGCACAATTTGAATATTATATCCATGTATCCTTTTTCTTTTCTGGTGTTGTGATAGAGTAAGTTAATCCATGTATGGAATAAGGGGCTTTCATCTGCTCACAGTTCCAAGTTACAACCCACCATAGTAGGGCTGAGGGTGGGGCTAAGGGTGGTAGGAGCTGGAAGCAGAGTATCACAGAGACAACAAATTAAAGCCTGCAAGGTCCAGCCTGGGAAGGCACAGCCCACACTCCTTCCTCTTGCCTCCCTTAAGAAGATCTCTCCAGGGGTCTTTTCTGAGACTGATACTCCAACCAAGGACCATACGTGGAGATATGCACACATGTAGCCCATGGCAGCTCAGTATCCAAGTGGGTTCCATAATAAGAAGAACAGGGACTGCCCCTGACATGAACTCAGTCTGGCCCTTTGATCACCTCCCCTCTATGGGGCTGCAGCCTTAGGCCACAGAGGAAGACAATGCAGCCAGTCCTGATGAGACCTGATAGACTAGAGTCAGAGGAAAGGGGAGGAGGACCTCCCCTATCAGTGGACTTGGAGAGGGGCATGGGAAGAGGGAGAGAGGACAGGATTGGGAGGGGATGAGGCGAGGCCATAGCTGGGATACAAACTGAATAAACTGTAATTAATAAAGAAATAATTTTTAAAAAGAAAATCTCTCACAGGAATGCCCACAGACCAGCCTCATCTAGACATAGACGGGTCCTCGCTGAGTTTCTCCTCTGGTGACTGTACATTTTGTCAAGGTGACACCAGAAACTAACCACCATACTCCCTTCCTATATCCCATTTTTATGGCTGCGTTCATTTCATGTCCACGGTATATCCAGGAGAGAGTTAGGAGTCCTGACAGCCCCAGCTTAGTACAAACTTCAAACAAAATAGACTTTCACCAGGCCAGCTCTCCGCCATCTTCTTCTCAAAGAATGGGGAAGATTCCAGAACGTAACCGACTCACTGGCAGTCCCTCCCTCAGTCACACCCCTGAACCTCACACCGACACACACAGACACTTACCAGGGACACAGTTCACTTCCTTTTGCATTCTGTGGGTCTTGGGCCCCTTGCCTCTCCAGGAGTTTTGCCAATCATAACCCCTTCTCATGAGTTGGTCAGAGAAGGTCTCACACTATCTGGCGATACTAGAAGTTCTAGTTGGCAGCTACTTGTAATGTCTCTCCAAAGTGGAAAACATGAAACCCCATACTCTTCTCTCTGCAGATTTTGATTTATGGAAATGAAATTGACAAAAAAGTCTTTGAGCCTGCTGAAACAGTGTCACTTGATTTTATCACACTCGGTATGTTGGATGATTCTACAGTTTCTCAAAAGGATCTGAGTTTACTGGAAAAAAGCAGCGATGACTCCAGCGTAAATGACCCTAAACTCAGCGGAAGCTGGGAGACGCACCTCGAGGGGCGACACTTGGGAAACTCTTCGGATTTGACAGTTATTGTCTGTGGTGCCGAGCAAAGCAACAGAGACACCTCCCCAGCCCAGTATGAATGGCTCAGCTGCACCACGCCCACAGGGGAGGCAGAAACGGAGCCTGAGTACAAGCAGCTCTGTGGGCAGGAAGAGGCTGCCAGAGCAGGGGAATTATCCGAGCCACAAACGGCTTTAGCAAAGTTGGAGCCGCAGCCAGACGACCTGCCTGACCTGGGGCAGGAGCACCCTGGCTCAGAAGACGGGCCGGAGGAAGAGCCATCTTCAACACTAGTGGATTGGGACCCTCAGACTGGCAGGCTCTGCATCCCTGCCTTCCCTAGCTTTGACCAGGATCCTGAGGGCTACGGACGTTGTGACAGAGACCATCTCTCAGAGGACGGCCTCTTGTCCAGACTCTACGGGAACCACATGCCTGACCAGGCAGATGAAGAAAGTGAAAGCTCTCTCATGCAGTTTACGGAGGAGTGGGGGTTATATGTACAAATGGAAAGCTAACCGCAGACCCTCTGTGGACCAGCTTCTCCTGGGACGGGCCACGTGCCCGTCAACAAACGAACTATCCCAGTGAGTTGAGTAGTGGGAACGAGTAGGCCTGCCTGTGTCCAGAGTCCCCGCGGTCAGTGGCGGCTCGTCCTCTGTCTGTTCACGCACTTGGTCAGCCCTGCCTCCTCCAGGGGGTCGGCTTCCATAGGACCATCTCCCCAATACCCACCGCGTCCTGCAGTGCAGGAGCTGTCTGGAATACAGATCCCTGAGTTTTGCTGTAGACAGAGGAAGCATTTGCAGGGTGGGCGGGGACTTCAAACAGGAGAGTAGACTGAGTTTGCCTGAGCAGTTATTTTCTGGGTTTTTACTGTATGTATGTAACACTATCAAAAAAATTCCAATTATTGCATAAACACCCCTTTTCTAGAATTTGGATGGAGAGTGGTTTACAGGTAAAGAGCTCAGCTCACTGCTCAGGCAGGGTAATTCCTGTCAGTCAAGCACAGCCCTTTGCTGGTACCACGTCTGAGCTTCTGTCTTTTGTTAGAGGCAGTGTTTATCTCTCTCTCTCTCTCTCTCTCTCTCTCTCTCTCTAGCAGTTCTGGAGTATGAGCCTAAGGGAGCTTTTGTAGTCAGGAAAATGCCCTCTCAATAATTTAGTAAGGGCCCTTGTTGCCTAAAACGTGTGCCACATTTTATATGAGCATACCATGCATGCTTTGGATGAGAGATACTGTTAGAAACATGTTTAGAAACTGTAAACTAGGAAATGTTCCGCAGCTGCGGTGCTGAGTCACTGTTCTAAGGGACAGGCAATACCGCACAGTCTCTTAGGAAACTGTATGAATGAACACTGCCTCTCCTCATAATAGCAAAACCAGTAGGAAGTAAACACGGGATATAGAAAAAAGTAAGTTAAATGTATATGTAAGAAGGGTGTGTTAAAGTTTGACACCATTCACTGTGAGCACTGGAGGACATCATAAACCAACACCTTCCTAGTGTTTCCGGTACCTTCTCCCACCTTCGTCACCATTTAATTAAGTTCCGGATCACACTGGGATTAAACGTGACAGGCTCCATAAACCTGAACTATATAAAACGAATGATGTTTCAGTCTTTTAGACTCACAGAAACATCGGCGTTTCATGTATTTGTTTAATTATGAACTCCATCCACAGAGACTCTTTCAAGAAGACAGATATCATCCTACTTCCTTAGTCATATTTTTGGCAAAAGCAGACAGCTCTGGTAGGAGAGATAGATTCAGGGGTCATGGTCTTTTGAAATTAACCACAAATCCAAACAGTTTCTGATTTAATGGTTTAATTTAGAGCATAATTATATTAATCAGAATGTTCTGTTCTTCTTGGTCTTTGCAGAAATGATTCTGGTGGCTTGGAAGAACAGATTTATGATACAAACTGGAAATGAAATTCAGGAGTGAGGAAGAATAGGTTGTTTTTAAAAGCAAAAAGAAAAATAATTGATAGTTTGGCTTATTAAGTCACAAAATATGTATTTACTTACGAAGTGTCAGTTACATCCTTTAACGTCCTCCTCTGTAAAATACAAATAAACACTTTCTTACCATCATGAGGGTAGAAAGACCTGGACTCTAGAGGGCTCTCAGAGCAGGGCAGGGCATGGAATGACCATCATAAGAGACCCTCTTTATTCTCTGTGCTTAGCACTAGAGGTGGAAGCCATCTTGACATATGAGAATCAATCAAATGTATGCCACGCCTAACTCTGTTTTTCTCACCTGAAAGTACAATAGTAATTTGCTTCCTACTCCATACCTTTGCTGAAACCTTTTCGTGTTGAAGCACGTTTTCTGCTTTTGTGAAGAAGACTCTCACTCTGGGTTGTCTTTCTGCCTCTGGTCAAGGTAAGCATATCAGAAGTATTTGGCATTTCGGTTTCTTGCAACATGTGAACATACACACAGACAGAGACAGATAGACAGACAAACAGAGTCCCTGACTTAAAAAGGATTCAACTTACATTTTAAAATTTGCTTATGAGATAAAAGGTATATGCATTCTGTAGAAACTGCAAACCTCCCAATTTTCAGAGTTGCTTGCTTTCTTATCTAGTGGCATTGGATGTCATTGTTCCTGTTAGTGATGGGAATTGCAGGGAGTCCCAGCATCCAGTCAGCCCTGTGATCACAAAGGGGAAACAGCTCTGTGGTAGACTGAGTTGCCGTGGTAGCTAGGTGATGCTAAGATTTGACTGACTGTCTCCTCAGATCCATATGCTAAAAGGTTGATGCCAACGTTATACCCTTAAAAGGACTGTGGGCCTCAAGAGGGTGGGTCCTAGCAGAAAGGACTCGGGTCATTGGGAATATACCCTTCAGGGGACTTGTGAGACCTCAGTCTCCCAATCTTTGGAGGTGTGAACACTGGCTCCCTTAACCACTCCTGACCTGGTATGCCACTCTCAAAAAGTCCAAATCCAAGAGGCTGTCCATTTTTTAGTTCAGACCCCCAGAACTGTGAGCCAAACATCAGCATTTCTTCATGACTAGCCTGTGCTGAGTACATTATTATGATGATGTGAAGTTAATATAGTTTGTTAAATTCATTTTCAAGTTACATTTTCAATCTATGATGGGATTGATTAGTTAAATAACATTCATACAATTAGATAAGTCTATGGAACATTTCTTGTAGGGGAAGGTCACTACTTCTCAGATGTGGGAGGCAGCTGTCATGTGTCCTTTTTCTGTGGCCAGGCCCACTGTCTCCTCCACATCTTCAAGGGACCGTATCCCTGAGGACCAAGTATAGCTGTGAGTTGTCAGGGTTCTTGACTGATGCTATTCATCTTATCACTTGAGTCCAGGCTTTTACATACTGCTTCCACATAAAGTTTCTTATACTAGCCCATAACTCCTAAACAGCTGATACATCAAAATGCTACCACTGTGGCTGAAAAGATGGCTCAAAGGTTAAGAGTACTAGCTGCTCTTGCACAGGACCCAGGTTCAATTCCCAGCACTCACAACCATCTGTAACTTCAGTCTCAGGAGACCAGATGTCCTCTTCCATCTTCCACAGGCCCCAGGCACACATGTAGTACACAGACATTCAGACAAGCAAAACACTCATACACATAAAAATAAAATGAATATGTTTAAGGAAAGAAAGAAAACTTCACTGCTGGGAAGCAAATGAAGCCAAATGTCATATCTTGCACATGGGATGAGAGTGGGTAAAGAGAATCGGCCTCCCCGCCAGCAACAGGAAAAAGATCTGATGCCCTAGGTTGTGCTCAGCTCCAAGAAAATCAGGACAGGAAGAAAAAAACCCTTTCTACAGAGCACAAGCCTGCCCAGTGTGATAAACACAGGAAAACATTAAACAGAGAGTGGATCACCATGGCTGGTGATTGGGTCATAAATCATTCTCTCTGACCCACACATTACCACCCCCTCATCTTCCAGAGGAGCCAAAGAGAAATTATCTTAAGATTGTTTCTCTCTTTCTCCCTCTTTGGTTCCTCACCTTACATCAACCATAAATCTTTTATCTGCCGTTGTTTTTAAAAGCTTTTGTTTTTTTTAAGTGACAATAATTTATAATAATTATATGGCCATGGGCGTTTTAATAATTTTAATTTTTATATAAAAATAGATTAAGATATATATACATATACATAGGTCACAGACCAGCTAGAAATGGAAAGAGTTTTAATTATTTATAATTAAATCCCATGTGGATTTAACCACTGTAAAGTGTATTAGGGCAGAGGAACTATTCTCAGTTAGGGATTATTTTGTCCCCCAGGGAACATTGACAACGTCTGGAAATTTTGTCTTCTGCTTTTTGAGATCAGCATCTCACTATGCAGCCTAGGTTTACCTGGAAACAGTTTCGGAACCCAAGCTGCTGTTAGACATGTGGGCTCTAGCCTCCTGCCACAGGTTCCCTCAATGGCTGGCCTTACCATCATGTACCATCACACCTGGCTTGGAGACTTTTTTTTATTGTCATGCTTCAGAGAGACACATCTAATGGCTTGTAATGGAGATAGAGTTGGAGGATTTCACTAAATATTCTAGTCTGCACAAAGGGGTCCCTATGACAAAGAGTTACCCAGCCCAGAATAGCCCTGCTGTAGAACTTCCCAGACATTTTCATGCATATACCCCCAAATAGAGATCATGTTGAATTGTTCTGTTACTTGCTCCTGTCACCAAAAAAAAAAAAATGTCTAATGAACTCTTTTATTTTACTAATGATTTCGTTTTGATGTGCCAGTTTTATTTGCAGCAGAATTTAACAGCACGGTGGGAATTATTTTCTCTGAGCAAATTTTTTCAGTTTTGTAATAGAAAAAATAGTGTCCAAAATTTGGAGATATTAAGAGTCCTTTTCAGGCAGAGCTTGGTGGCTATGCCTGTAACTCCAGCACTTGGGAGGGGGAGGTTCGAGAATCAGGAGTTCAACACCAGCCTTAGCTATATGCATTTGAAGCTAGCTTTGGCTATATGAGACATTGTTGCAAATAAGGGGCTGGGGAGTCCTTTAAAGATTCTGTAAGCATTCAGTTCCATCTGTCTGCAGCAATTCTGAGCTGTAACTGCCATTACTTTCTGTAGTATCCCCAGCTGGTTTTACCATATAGTTTCCCGTACATAGTTTCCCATATACTATAAGAAAGCAAACAAATAATGTATGATACCTTTCTTTTCTCTGGGACAAAAATACCTGACAGAAATAACTTATCAACATAGGAATGTATTTTAGCTCACAGGTCTATGCAGAGGAGATATGGCACTGGGGCTCTAGCCAGGGTGATAAAAGCCTGTGGTGTGGCCTGTTACCACTGCATTCATCAGGAAGCCCATACTGAATCCACACTCCTACAACCTCATGTCTGCCTGCCAGGGCTCATGTTCAAAAGTTTCACAACTTCCCAAAACAACACCACATCCAGGAATTAACTGTTCACAGGCATGAGCCTTCTGGAGATGTTTCACATTCAAACCGTAACAAGTAATATGTGAAACTTAATGACTACCCACGTCATAACTGAAACTATTCCTGTCTCTACCTGGAATGTGCCTCATGTCCTTGATACAGTCTTAAGACAAACCAGGTACATTCCAACTTGGATGAAGTCAGCGCTGTCTCAACCACTTTATAAGTCCCTACTTTTCATTCAAGCCCCAGGATCCACTGTTCTTGCTGTTAGTCAGGACCATGGTTTTGTCAGTAAGTCCCTAGTCAATTACAACGTAATTGAATCTGTCTGCCTCCTCCTCTGTGCTCTCAGAACCTTGGATCCATTCTCATACGCTAAGGCCTAGTTGTTCTGGAATGCATATGGTAAGTGCTTTTGATATGACGGAGTCTCTAAAACCATTGCTTCTTGGTGGTCACTACCTCTCCCAAGTGACTTGATGACTATCACATGCATCTTCACCTGTAAGTACTGGACAGGTCCTAGCTCTGGTCCAGCTCATCCTCCTCATGGACAAGCAACTGAAGGCAGCCATGTCTGTAAAATGCATAATTATTTCTGTGCCTTCTCTAGCTCCCGAATAATGACATGGAGACATATTTATTAAAAGCTTCAGGTACTATAGTTGGTCAGATACTGAGCTATTCTAACATGACTGTGGCGGCCTCTCTTACTTCCCAGTCACATGTCCTATTACCTGCCAGCTTAGTCTCACCCTAGCTATTCCTTCTCCATCTGTGCCCTCATGGCAACTCCCCTTTCTGGTCCTCACCTGGGACCCTCTTTCTGGGCTCAGAAGTCCTGCCTTATCCTCTTCTGCCCAGCTATTGGCTGTTCAGATCTTTATTAACCAATCAGAATGTGATGGAGAACAATATTTACAACATACCCTGACAGGATGCTTTATAATAATGAAAATGCCAAAGTCCAGACTACAACCAGATCTCTGGGTACTGAAATCATCATTTCAACACACAGTACACAGAAAACATCCTCCAACATCTGTCTCTACAGCCATCCTATTGCCCCCTTGCCTGGGGCAGCTACAAGATTTTGGTACTACTTTCTCACTTTAATATTAGCAAATTTTCCATTTGGTTTTTACTCTGATCTTAGTTCCAGTAAAATCCAGGTTAAAGTTCTTCCCGCATGGCTGCCCACTTACTATCAGATGCATTGTTGTGTCACACGACAGCTTCCTGTTAACGTTTGGAGGGTGAGACTCCTCCTGGCAGGAGCTACATCTGCCTTTGCTGCCTAAGGGAGCATAAAAGTCATGCGCTGCCTTCTGCTGCCCAGTACACGTCTCTTCGTTTCTGAATCTATTGGCTCTGGATAAGCAGTACTCGGAGGCTTCCCCTCACACCAGGGTGGACATCTGGCTTACGGTCATGCTTCCGTGAACAGACAGATGAACACTGATAGGGAGAAGAAGTATGACCACCTATTTGCATCTCCTCGACTGATTTCCACGGAGTGCTGCTCTGAAGGGCCTTCTATAAATCATGATAAATTACATGCTGTGATTACGTACTGTGCCTCTTCCTCATATAGTCCCCAGGCTTCGGGGAGAAATTGATGGATGTATTTAAATCTACTTATGCTGATTTAATATGTAGACATTTCAGGATATTTGATGTGAGAGGTGAAACAGAGAGATTTCCATCCCAACCCCACAAAAAAGGAGGTATGAGGTTAACTGTCTAATTCACCGTCTCGCTTTTAAAAGAATATAGTGGCAAAACCTTAAAGAAAGGTGGATAGATGAGTAACATAGTACGGAATCACAGTTTCCCCTTTGGAATCGGAGGACAGAGCAGGAGGAGGAGGGGGTCATTAGAATTGTGATAGTCTCCTTAGAGAAGAACAAACAAAGTGTTTCTTTTATTTTTTTTTTCAAATTTGGAATGCTATATGTGCCCTAATGTAATGAGAATGGAACTCCAGCTCCCCTGATATATCATAATGGCATCCATGGAGGTCCCATAACTAGCTACCGGCTTCATGATGTTGGTCAAGGCATTTGAAATGACAGGGCTATTATTTTTCCTTGTAAATCAGATACAATTATGTTTATGGTCACATCATATTTACAAACCTTTTGACTGAGTCTAACATTCTACCTGAAAAAGAGCTGTGGACCGTTTGATTAGTTGAGTTTCTGTCCTGAAGAACATGATTGAGCATAAGGGCTCTCCTCACAACTAACAAGAAAGGAACACTTGAACCTGGCAGGAAATGAAGAGGAGTGTGAGTCACACAAACTTGAAGTGCTGCCTTTTTGCTGCTCACCAGTATTGATAAGTTAATAAGTAAAAGATCACAGGCACACAAGCAGGCAGTCCCACTGACCAACACAGCCATCCCTTCTTTCTGAAGGAACTAGAGTTGGTCTCCATTAACTAATTTGAGTGTGCAAGAAAGAAAGACGTCAGTATGTTCACCCTTTCAATTCAGGGAACTGTCCCTTTCTGTGCTAAGTTGGCCTTAGTTACAAATGCTTAGTAACCATTATTAAATAGAATGATTTTGCTTTTCCTGTGTTTCCCATTTTATGGTAGCTTATTGCAACTGACTTCCAAAATGAAAGACTGCAGAATTACAGATTTAAACAACACTTTTAAGCACAAACATCTTTAATTCACACATAATAAAGAAATTTAGAAATTTAACCTTTGCAAAAAAAGGAAGTAAAAATAAAAACAGATGTCTGTGTAAATGGAAGTAAACTTAAGATATTTGTATAAACAGAAGTGTCAGTGAGACATTTATTGGCATTCAACTACACCCTAATCTAAAAAACTAGGAGTACTGTGTTCCTACTGAACATTACATTTCAGTAACATTGTAAGCCAACCAGAAAGCTATTTTAAAGAGATCTGGAGTCTGAGATCTACAGAGAAGTAAGAATGGAATCCAGAATTTAGAGAAGCTCTGAAAAGTGCCACAGACAAAGACCCTGCAGTGAAGGGGACATTAGACACAGTCTGATGTATCATGGAATGGAATTAGAACACATAGGAGTTTCTAGAAGACAGACCTCATTTTCAAGTCCAGAGAAACTTCCAATAATTAAGTGGCATTCTTGATTCTTAACTACATGAGGCTGAGTTTTCCATCACAGAATGGATGAAGCATAGACTGGTTTATATTAAAGCTTTTGAAGAGAGAATCCCCTCATAGGGTAAAGAGTTAAAATACATGGTCTCTAAAATAGCTCCCATCTCTAAATATCTAAAGCAAAATATAAATAAATAATAATTAATAAATAAATAAATAAATAAATTTATTTTAATTTACCTGGGATGATTGGAATGATCATTTCTTCTTTTCCTTCTTCCCCACCCCCAAGCAGTTCATGAACTTGAACGTGTGTTTTCCATAAACTGCCATGAACTTGTCCTTGGCCACATGAACAAAGAGCCAATTAGTGCCTCCTTGCCTGTGACTGATGACAGTTCAGGAGTCACTAGACGGGCAACTGAGCTCAGCCTTCCAAGAACTTAGTATGACTCTAGAAACCCCGTCCTTTTCCTCCATGTCACTTCTCATGCTTAAGCATATTCGTTTGTTTGCTTGTTTGTTTGTTTTCTTAAAGAAAATTTTGAGTTATTGAAAAAGGACAGGCTACAAATAGGCAAAGAAGCCATCATATCTCCATATTCTATATCAATTCCAAACATTACAGAAACAATGCTACAATTCAAAAAATACAAATAAATCATAGTCAGAGTTGCCGGAAACTGCCTGAGTTTCCCGTCAATCTGAACATTTTCTGTTCTTGTCTCAGTTGCAGAATACCCCAAAGATATTTATGGTTTAAATATCAACTGTTTCTCCAAAAGGCTCATGTGCCAAAGGTTTAGTCTCCAGGAAATGGCGATGCTGAAAGGCAATGCATCATGAGGGTACAAGCTTCATCAATGAGTGAATGCACTGAGTCCATAGCAAACGGGCTGCTGAGGAGGTGGGGCCTGGCTTGAAGAAGGAAGTCACTGGGGACATGCCTTTCCAAGAGTGTATCCAGTCCTGAATGCTTTGTCTCTCTGTCCCTGCTTCCTACTTGGTGTGAGGCGAGTAGGTTTTCCTCATGATGTTTCTCCCTCTTGTCAGACCTCTGGAAATTCAGCCAGCCAATCATGAACATGAACATGAGCCAAAATAAATCATCACTTCTTCAGGTTCTTTCTCTCAGATATTTGACACAGTGACATTCTAGGTAACGTTAGATAGAACAAAGATTTATTTGCTGGAGTGTGA